ATTTGAAGAATATAGAATGAATGGAGAGTAAATGAAATCAATGAAGCTATATAATAGACCTTTTCAAATTAGAATAATTCTGTTGCGCATGCGGAAAACATTGTTGCCAAGTGTCGGTTTCTATCACGCTATACAGGAAAGAATCATGAATAAATTCGATTTCATTAGAACTGAGATTCAAATTCTTTATTATCAATTAACCTTATATTTGATGCAGTCAAAGACTCAAGCTATTTATTGAAAAGATATATTGATGGTCATTTTGTAAAGTTTTTTTTTTTAAACCTAACGCGCTTCAATTTGTACAAGCCGGCAACATCGCACAAGGAAAAACCTATTTAAAAATTAGTAAAAGCGATGGGGCCCACAAATATTGTGTTTTTGGAAAGTGTAATAGTGACAGCAGAGTTGGAAGACCGGGATATTCCGAGGGATTAATTTTTTACCGCTTTCCCTGGTCATGTCTTCAACGTAAATTCCTTTTAAGTTCCAATACGCTATTTTTCTCTACAATCTCATTACGAAAAATTGCACCTGGCACATCTGCTGCTGATAGTTTAACGTTTTTAAAAGGCATTTGGACCAGTTTAAATTGGAAAAGGTATTAATTACAACTTTTTTATAATACTTGCTATGCTTTTTGACCGCAAAACAAACAGCCAACATAACCCCACTTATTTGACGCGCAAGCGCGTTGTGGACCTTGAAATTTGAAAAGGTCTATTGGTAGACCACTTGACTATTATATGACATATAAAGTGTGTTTTTTTTTTAAAGATAAAAGTCAAAATGACATTATGTTGGCAATACAATGTAAAATTGTCAATGCTTTCAATTTTTTTATGTAGAAAAGGCTTGTGTTGCCAACATAGTTACTAAATTTTTGACTTGGGGAATTATCTTTAAAAAAAAAAAGCACTTTACCTAAATTTTCAGATATACATACATACATAATACGAATATGGTGCCCAACAAATGGTTGGCAAAACAATCTGACATTTTAACCTTGCTATTACGTAAAAAGTAAGAGTATCAGCATAATGGCTTTTGCTAGGTCAAGCTAGCTTATTAATATAACTTTGCTATGATGTATCCTAAGACATCATTAAATTTTTAACATACCAAATTTTTTACAAAAAAATTCCTCAATAAAAATCAGCTTGCTAAAATTCACCTTGGGGAATCTGTGTAAACGCGAAACCATAATTATATTGCGGAAACTGATAATTCTATATAAACTTAATAATAATAATTTGTTGAACGGTATTACTAATAATAACGTTCAAAAATGTTAATGGTTGATATGATTATTTTTTTGTATTTCCCTTTGTTAGGGAATCATTTATTTGTATGTATTAAAAACAAATAGGTACGTACATGAACTCAAATAGTTATTTTCCTAACAAGTGCGCCAAGTGATACTTTGCCGCACGAAAAAGCAGTTAGACGAACAACGCGAAGCGGAGTTCGGATAAGCTTTGAGTGCGGGAAAGTCACTTTGCGCAAGTGTTAGGAACAATATTTTTTCTACGAGTATCTTAAAGAAGTAGACTTTGAATTGTTAAAATATTAGAAAAATCTATCAAATCAATATCTTTAAACATCGTTTAAAATCTATTGGAATTCCTCAGAATGTCTTTTAAATTAAATCCCCAAAAATCATGTAACATCTTCTGGAATTTCTAGAATACCAGCTAGAATATTTTCATGAGAGTCTCTCAAATATCAAAAATTCTACAAATTCCTAGCAGTACAGGCTGGTCCAATTTGGACACCTTTGATAGGAAACATCATGTTAGCTAAGCGCGCTAATTTCAACTAAAACCCTTCATTTTGAATATTAGTTTATTCAGAAACCATCAAAACATTGAAAAATCAAGTATAACTATGGTAATTTTGCATAACAAAAATGAGTGCGCAAAGAGTTTCCGTACGCAAAGTTCAACTTTGCGCACGCAAATGAGTGCGCAAAGTGACTACTTTGCGCACGCAAGTAGAAAATAGTTATTTTCCTAACAAGTGCGGAAAGTGATACTTTCCCGCACGCGACTGCCGTTGACCCGAACGACGCGAAGCGGAGTTCGGGCAAGGAGTCGAGTGCGGGCAAGACACTTTCCGGATGAGTTAGGAACATTATTTTTTCTACGAGCGCGTTCAAATATAAAAACAAAAACTAAGTAAATTCAAAGCGATATATTATTAAAGAAATCGTTTAATTACAAAATTACCTATTTTTATATTTTTACGTTTACTTTTAAGAATGATTGAAAAAAATTATGTACTAAATCGATTTGATGTTACAATAAACAAAATTTCTAAGGTAAAAAAAATGCCCCGCCTTAAAGGAACCAAAAAGTCAAACAATGTCAAAAAAAATTATAAAATTTTTGAAATATTCACAAATTAGAATAATATGGATTAAAATAGGAATATTTCAAATAGTTTATGAGCGCATAAATTAGTATATCTAGCAAAAATGTATACAGACAAAATAGATAAAATGTTTGATTAATTAACAAAAGTGACACTTCTTCTGGACGCCACTTTCCCGCACTAGTGCGGGAAAAACAAAATCGCGCACTAGTGCATGAAAGTGACATTTTCGAAACTAAGATGCGTATGGGAAAGTGATAAAAAATGCACGCTCGTAGAAAAAATATTTTTCGGAAATTGTTGCTCTTCATAAAAGATATTATTTTGATATTATCCAAACTTAAATGTAAATTTCTGCAATTTTTCAGCTGCCTTTCGATTACCCTAATTTTTTTCTCATTTTCTTTTTTGTCTGGTATATTCAATAGAAAAAACTTGTTAGATTTGGTAGCCTCCAAGCAAGATCCAAATAATCCAGGTCTATTTTAGCTATTTGTGTTTCCGGGATATTAGATATTACGAAAATCTATTGCAGAACTATTTCCACATTTATTTGTAATGTAATGCTATGATAGGAGGATATTTCAAAAATTGTCACAATAATTTGATATAAACCATAAAAAGTTGCAGAAAACTCTTCATCACAAAAAAATAAATATATTTTTACAGCCTTCTAGGATTAATTTTTTTCCCTAATATTAGTAAATCGCTTGGCAGGGTAAATCCCTCAGGATTTTTCGGGGTAACGCAAATATTGCGTCACTCGCAACTTCTCTATCATTTCGGAATTTGTAACTTGGGAAGTTGGAGGAGTAAATTTTTTCAACGATAAAAATATACGTTCGCTTTGGATTTCCCCAAGGTCGGCAGAATCGCCACTATTATTAGTTGTGTTATAGTAAAAAAGAAAATTTATCAAATTATTCAAATTTGGTTCAAATGTGTCGCTAAATATCATAAACCTAATCGGAAATCCCATTATTACCCCTTGAATTTTGTTCAAGAACACAATAATTATGTATAATACATACATATGTATCTATTATTTTTAATTGCTTTTAGTTCAAGTTTAAAAATTAACCATGAACTTGACCAAGAAATTTTGCATTATTTCTAGTTAATTGAGTTTAAAAAGTGGTTTATGGTTAAGAAATTCTCCGTTTTTTTATCCAGGGAATTTCCAACCTCCCAAAATTATTTAATTCACATAAAAAAAAAGCTCTTTGTGGGAGCCTTTATTTCCCATTTTTTCTTGCAGATTACTTTTAGCAGCTGCAGGGCATAATTTGTATCTATTGAAGATCTATCGTTCATAAAATAATAATTTCTTGGTGATCAATTTATTACGGTATTAACAAGTTTTAACTTTTAAGAGACATATCTAAGTCATATATTTATTGCAGTTTTTACCTTATTTAGTAGCTTTCCTTTTAATTCTATTTGAAATTATCTCTCAATATTGATGAAAATTCATTATAAATTTTGGGTTTTTTTTCACAATTGTCTGAATGACAAATGGAATCCCCTGTGAGTTAATAACAAACTTCCCAGAGTGCAGCTCATATGCTGCAATTTCTTGGTAGTAACGGATTTGGAAGTGCCCTGTGAACAGGAATTGAGATTATTGACCTCTTTTTTGGACAAGGGAATACCCATTTTTTGCTTTATTTAAAACGATTATTAGGGTTCAGGTAATTCTTTCATTGAAAGCGCTGAAAAATAAATAATAATGAGAAAAATAGGTGCCTATATGTAAGAAGCTTTCAAAGTTTAATTTAAACTTTCTATGCTAAAAAAATATGTTCTCAAATAGCTAAAAACTGTCTAGGTATACCTACTCCGTATGGAGTCGAATCACACAGTTAACATTTCTGAAAAAATTTGTTTAAATTGCATTTCAAGAGAATTTACTGAATTCTTTTTGAAATACCTTAGAAATGTCTTAATGTTCAGGCGTCATATGGCACTTGATTAGATGCTGCATTAGAGGGTAGAGATATCACTGATAAGAGTGAAACTACAAACTGACAATTTTCTATCCACACTTCTACACAAGCTAAATTTTGAATCTGAAAAAAGCATGCTAAAGAATGTTTTGTATATCATTAATTAATTATCAAATAATAATAATTGGGATGTTATCATAACCACTTGATAAATGGCACTTTAGAAAAGTGCATACATACATAGAGGAATTCTACAATTTCCTTTCAGGTGGTTGATAAAGTACACACCATAAACTATTATTAAGCACTTACAAAATTTATCTAGAATAATTTAAAAAAGCGCAAATTTGCGTTGTGTCGTCACATAAAGTAACATGTATTTGGAATTTGAAATGTTTATTTTTCACCTTTCAATCAGATTTAATTATATATATTTCTATGAAACACTCCCATCAACCTTAAAAAAATTAATTAATCAATTAATTATTGAATCAATATTTTGCGCTAATTCAAGGCATGCTTGCTAAAACTCTCAACAATTTGGCACCATTTACATAAAAATAAGTACCTCTTTTGCACCACTTGTGTGTTCACAAATATGCCAAATTAAAAATTCTCCCAGATAGGAAAGTCCCAGATAATTTTTCGGTATAAAAACTTTTAAAAACGTAGGTGCTCATTCAGTGGCAAACTATTCGTCGTTGATAAATGAACAATAGTAAAATGAAGTACGGTTTTTGTTTTCTGGTTTTGTTAACGATTTTCCGGTTTCAATTATCTAAAGCTGATTGCAATGTAGCGAGTGAAACGGTAGCTAGTGGAACCTTTTACGAACCAAAAGAGAAATTGTGTCCAGGCGATTTAATTTTCGAAGATAACTTTAATACTTTTGATTTGGAAAAGTGGCAGCATGAATCTACTTTAGCTGGAGGTGGGAATTGGGAATTTCAATGGTACCTCAACAACAGGACTAACAGCTACGTGAATGGTGGAAATTTACATATAAGTCCAAGTTTTGTATCTACTGACAATGGAGAAGATTTTCTATATTCTGGAACTTTGGACTTGAATGGTGGAATTCCTACAGACCAATGCACCAATCCTTCCTATTATGGTTGTAGCCGCACTGGAACAGCCACTAACATTGTAAACCCAGTAAGAAGTGCCAGAATTAGAACTGTTGATTCTTTAGCATTCAAATATGGCTCAGTTGAGGTAAGAGCAAAAATGCCAGCAGGTGATTGGTTATGGCCAGCTATTTGGTTATTGCCTCGTTTCAATGCTTATGGTGGTTGGCCATCATCTGGAGAGATTGATTTATTAGAGTCTCGTGGCAATAGAAACCTCTACAATTCTGCTAGAGTTAATGTAGGTACTCAGCAAGCAAGTAGTACTCTTCATTGGGGACCATCAGTTAGAGCCAATCAATGGACTAGGACACATTTTGAGAAAAACAATGCTGCCGGATACGACACTGATTTCCATGTTTATAAATTAGTTTGGACCTCTAATGGAATGGTATTTTACATCGATAACGAACTCATTGGTTCCATAAATCCGCCTGAAGGCGGTTTTTGGGAATTGGGCGAATTCGCTAGCACTGGAGTATCAAATCCTTGGGCAGCTGGTAATAGAATGGCACCGTTCGATCAGAAATTTTATTTGATCATAAATCTGGCTGTCGGAGGAACCAACTTTTTTTCGGACGATTTGACCAATCCAGGAGGCAAACCATGGTCTAACACATCGCCTACAGCCTTTACAGATTTTTGGAAAGGTAAAAGCCAGTGGGAACCGACATGGAATTTAGGAAGTGACGATTCGCATTTAGTTGTCGATTATGTAAGAGTGTATGCTGTCTAATGTTGTAGTTTGAATTTTTATTTTAATTTTGTACATACTTAGGTAATTGTTATTTGTTGAAAATAAAACGTTGAAACTGTTGAAAGTAATTCTGTTCTGTTCTGAGTTTTTCATTAATGCTGACAAAAGAAATTATTTTAAAAACTAACTACTATTAGATGGAAATTCATTTAGATCGTCAATTAAATTTAATTCAAATTTTATTATCCGAATTAACATGAACAAAATTGGTCTTATTGAATGACTTTACACAAACTATTTTTTTTTGCAAAATGCCAAAGACACTGAGGGCTAGAAATCTTACACCCAACCCATTGCAAATATTCACATATCTCACTCTAGTTCTAGTGAAACTTCCTATTGAAATAATTACCCTCTCAAAGAGTTTTCTGCAGCATTGCCTCCAGCTTTCGAAAAAATATTTGCGTCAGTGTCGGGCTTTCTTTGCATCTCCTGATTGTTACTAATCTGGCTTATTCTATTTTGCGAGGCATTTTTGGCAGGTTCATACGTTTCCCGCAGGTCTGTATCTTACTCCAAGTTATTAGTTCAATAAAGTCTTCTGGAGCTTGTGGATATGTCAATTTTCAGCGTCTTCAATGGACCTTGCACTCTGTTCATCAGCTGGCTCTGATACACTTTACTGAAATATATACATCTCAGTTCTAAGGCGCCTACAAAAGCTTCATATTCACTTTGTTTTGCCCATTATCCAGGAATTCTAGTGCCTTCCCCTGTAACTCTAGTACCAATTGTGCATGAACCTATTTGCCAAAAAGCAAAATTATGCAAAAAATATTTGGATAGTTTAAGCCATTTAAATTTATAGGTCGAGTGGTATACGGCTAGATTATTTCCTGAATAATTAGGATTGAATTGTTGGCGTCAATCCTATCCAAAGAGTTCTATTTATTATAAAACTAGCTGACCCGGCGAACTTCGTTTCTCCTCTGAATTATTAAATACCTATTAAATGTTGTGTTAACGTATCTAAAGTGCGTTTTTTTTAAAGATAAAAGTCAAATTGACATTATGTTGGCAATACAATGTAAAATTGTCATTGCTTTCAAAATTTTTATGTAGAAAAGGCTTGTGTTGCCAACATAGTTACTAAATTTTTGAATTGGGGAATTATCTTTAAAAAAAAAAACAGATTTTATTAACTGAATTAAATTCAGTTTTTTTCGATGATGAATTTGGCTTTGGTTGAAGAAAATTAATTTTTACTCTCTGAATCAGAAGTCACCTAAAATTAAAATTTTACATCATCCCTTTTTAGGCATCTTGTGGGCATTATTCTTATGAAGTCTACCACCAAATAAATAAACTCAGACACAAGAATGTTCAAAAAATGTAAAGAAAACAAAAAAAATCTCCAGCGCAGCCCTGTTTCATTTTATCTGCACTGCAATACTCCATCTGTTCTACTGTATCTGCACTATTCTATCTGATCTACTCTTTCTGCACCACTTTATCTGATCGGAATAGTGGAATAGTTCTGTTTGGAATAGCTCTAGTTCCTTGGCAGTATTCTGTTCTACTGTATCTGCAATGAAATTACCGCACAACGGCGAGCTTCGTTCTAGGTACCTATCATATATGGCGCCGTATACAAAATGGTTGTGGCGGACTCATAACCTGGCTCTCTGCCACTCGACACCAGCCGGACGGAGCACTCCGAACAGTCGGCACGGAACACGGCTGTCAAGGGATGCCTAAGAGGAGAAACGGAACTTAGACACAGAACGTCAATGGTCAAGCGTCAAGAAATGACAGGGAGACCAGTTCGCGCTCTTTCGGAATGAACGAACCAACAACAAAATAAAATACACAATTAAAACATTGTCATTCTATTTATTTTTGGACATTTTTACTGTGAAGAACAATTAAAAATAAAGTGCTTTCCTCAAATTGTTTTTGTGCAAAGTGTGTGACAATAAAGTCCACATGGTTTGCAATGAAAATTTGACGGTAAACTTGGTATCAGTTATAAGAGATGGCGCCGTATGCGGGCTTAGTGAGTTTTTTTCATAAATAAGTAAAATAGGTTTTTTTTTTGTTTTTTTTTTGGATTTTTTCGATTTATTATCGTAGGATGGACAAAGACAAATCCAATAAAGCAAAAATCATGAAAATCAGTCCAGCCGTTCTCGAGTTACAAGTGCTCAACACCAACACAACTGTGTTTTATACAGGGTGTCCGGTAAGTATATGGCATACTCTCGGGAGCGTATAGTAGGGGTCAAAATAACCCTACTTTGTTCTAAAAAAAAATTCCTAAAGTGCCCCTTAACGGAGATACGGAGCCCCAAAAGAGTACTTGGCGATGCACATTTTTGGCTCTAACTTTTGAACCGACTTGTATAATTTAATGAAGTTTTGATATTTTATGTTGGCTATAAAGACTCATGAAATCATCCTACTGTAGATGTTTCACATACTCTGGGAAGTCAGGAACGGACTTGCCACCATATTCATTTTGACAAATTTTTGACAGGAGTCATTTTACACAGCTGAAAACTGATTTTTTTAAATACTTTGGTCATTTTTCTTCAAAAAAGGTACTCTACATTTTGTTTCGATTAAATCAGCCGTTTCCGAAAAAATTAGGTTTTTGTATAACACCTTCAATCATTTATCTTCGAAATTTATTTAATAATCAAGTCGATACCAGATTAAGAAAAAACAGATAGAAGTTGACTTATAAAAAGTACCTGAAAACGACCCTTTTTGCCATAAAAAGGTACTTTTTATAAGTCAACTTTTACCTGTTTTTCTTAATCTAGAATCAACTTAATCATTAAATAAATTTCTAAGGGAAATGATTGAAGGTGCGTATACAAAAACCTATTTTTTTCGGAAACGGTTGATTTAATCGAAACAAATGTAGAGCACCTTTTTTGAAGAGAAATGACCACAGTATTTAAAAAATCAGTATTCAGGTGTATAAAATAACTCCTGTCAAAAATTTGGCACAATGAATATGGTGGCAAGTCCGTTCCTGACTTCCCAGATTATGTGAAACATCTGCTGTAGGACGAGTTTATGAGTCTTTATGGCCAACATAAAATATCAAAACTTCATTAAATTATACAAATCGGTTCAAAAGTTAGAGCCAAAAATGTGTACCGCCAAATACTCTTTTGGGGCTCTGTATCTCCGTTAAGGGGCACTTTAGGATTTTTTTTTTAGAAGAAAGTAGGGTTATTTTGACCCCTACTATATGCTCCCGAGAGTATGCCATATACTTACCGGACACCCTGTATATATAGATGTCAGAATATTTCTATCAAAATGCTGTCAAAAAAGGTAAACAAAAATTTAATCGCCGATAAACAAGGTCTTGTGAAATAATCACTTATTTAAACAAAATGCATTCAAAAAATGACGTTGTCTGATGGGTCTATTGTATAATGAATGAAATAATCATATATTATATCACAAGAGCTTTAAATTTAATCGATTAAACTATCCAACATATTTTGAGCATGATTTTGCTTGGAAAATAGTTGAATGCACAATAACTTAATTAGGCATTCCAGGTCACGTGACTTTTGACAGGACCGCCATATTAGCTGAGGGGCCCCAAAGATCATTGTTTACAAAATTACAATGTTTTTTGAGTTTGTGCTTTGGAATTTTTGCGTTTTTTGATTTATTCAATAAATTTTAAGTTGTTTTTAGTTTTTGTGAATGAATGGAATGAATGAATGAATCTTTATTTACAGACATGCCACTTTACATTTCAATTCAACAATAGTAAACAAACAATTTATTAACAAAAATAATGCTTAAGAATCTAAATTGTTTAAAAAATAAAAAAGTTTGATACTAACAACAACCTTACAAATAAACTTTAGCAAAATAAATTTGTGGTAGAATGACTCCTCAAACGTTTTGACTGTTCTGATCGGTGTAGGGTTGCCATATAATTGAGTTTTGAAAATAGGAGAGCCTGTGAAAAATTATATGACATTTGATAATAATATATGAGAAAATGAGAATATTTTATGTACTTCAAAATACTTAAATCTGAAAAAGCTCCTATCTTAACATTTAGTTATGATTTTTAGCAGATTTTGGAATGTATGACTGGACATTTTTTTAGGTAGTTAAATGCTCCTCCTGATCCGTCAGTCTCATTTCTTGTAACAAGTTGTGGGAAACACCTTCAGTTTTTTGATGTTTAAACAAATCCTTGACCCAAAATAATTTTGTTTTTTTTTCTGTTTTTACTTTTATTTTTATTTATTATGTACAAAAGCAACAAAAGTAAATATATTATTTATTCGGCAACGTCAGAAAAAAGTTGAAAATATTCGGATGAGAAGTGGCGGGAAATTTTTCTGCCAATAGGAGCTCCATCGTACCATCGGACGGTTGGATGGGACGCATCGCATGAGACTCCGACTTATCACGTGTATGGTAGTGATATACATGGTTTCTTTTTTTTGATCAAAATATATGAGAAATAGTCTCATATTAAACATGCTAATATGAGATATGAGAAACAGTTGAAATATATGAGTCTCATATTAAAAATAGGAGGTCTGGCAACCCTAGATCGGTGCACAGATCTGGCATGTAGCTTAGCTTACTGGCTTGTTCATTCTGGGCTTCTATCAATTATCGTAGTATATCCTAAATTTGTACTGGGGACCCAATCCGGATTGTTTGTATCCTTAAATTCTGCTGGACTACCTAAAAGGTATTAAAAGTTACCTACTTGTAGAAACATAAACAACTTTTTTGATGTACCGAGATGAAGTGTTTTTGTATTTTAACAACAAGACAGTCATAATACTTACCATTAACAAAATGTTTTGAACAAATACGAGCATTTTTCAAAAACGTTTCAGTTAAATCTCTCCTTTTGAGGCATTTAATCCACAGATTTCGTCGTTCCTTTTTTAGCTCGTTTAGACGATTCCCTAGATCTCTTAATGCTGCTGGGATCCTGAAAAACCTTTCTTTATCTCTTTCCGCTCTACTGGAGCACCCAACAACGCAGCAAAACGAAGGCATCTTCACAAAATATAAATATTAGATTGAAAATTCTTGGTTTAACATTGAATCAGGTTATGTTTGG